AAAGTAATACGGCACACGGAGCGCGACACTCACCGCTTGCCGGCTCGACGTTCGGCGAGCGAATGATAACGCGGCGACCTTCAAGTAAACAATGGCCCGCGTAACGTCGTACGATACCGCGCTGAGTGAAAAACAACAAAAAAACAAAGAAACGTTGAGAGTTCGTTGTCCCGTATACGAAATTAAATATTCTCTCCTTCTTCCTCGTGTGTTAGGCTTAAAGCACAGACTTCTATCCCACATAGCACGTAATGTTACAGTAATATCACAGTAATATTACGTTTCCAACACTCTAAGAAGTATGGATGTGAATTCTCACCAATGGTGTGAAATGAACACCCATTCAGGTGTTTATATAATTCTCACCTTATCGATGTGAAATTAACACTGCTTGGTTAGTATGAAAAATTCACATTTCTGCGGTGCGAGACAAGCATATTGCTACAAATAACTGTTATAGTTACATGTGGCGTCGTCATGGCAAAACAATATAACAGCAAAGTTGACACCGCGTTTGTCGGTGTAAAAGATTTTCTACAATATCTGCGTTGAAATTCACACCGAGTTTATTTATCTACGTGAATGTGGTGAAAGTTCGCACCACTGTTTTTTTAGAGTGAATGTGATATTACAATAAAATATATCCGAAATATTACTATAATATTACCGATATATCACAGTAATATTAAAATGTCCGCCCAATGAAATATTACCGAGATAATCGTAGTAATATTACTGTGATAATCACAATAATATTACTGTGATGTATCACGTTATATTACTGTAATATATCACTATAATATTACTGTAATATTGCAAGGAATTATATTAGGGTAAACCTATATAATCTCTGCAATAATTGTGCGTTTTTGTAGTCATTCTCAAAGATGATTATCGTCATATTAGAAATTACCCTTATAATACTTTATTCGTACTAGGACTGGTGATTTCCTTCGAAGGCTTCGACATTCGAACTTTCGAAATCTTCGAAGCTTCGAAACTTCGAATCTTCGAAAAATTTATTCGTGCAAGTGGCGAATTTATTCAAAGAACATTAAAAATATTGCAAATAAAAGATATTAATTTATATATGTTGAAAAATAGATAATTACTTCAGAATAATAATGAAGTGTTCGAAGCTTCGAAGCTTCAAGTGATAATTGTGTCAACAATTCCGTATGGTAAATCAAAAGAACAGATCTTAATTTCACGAACGGCAAAACATGACACAATTATCACTTGAGAAGGATCACAAATCATGGTCGAAACGTTGTGAGTTTAAACATAAAAATTTGCCAGACATGGTCGAGTAATCTTCTGAAGTTCTATTATTTCAAATTACCTTGTTCAGTGGTTGTTACTACATTTTGCGTATCACTCCGGATGAGAGAGAGTATCGGCGAGTCGCGTTCAGAGATCCGTAATCTTGACCCCGTATCTCGCCCTGAAAAAGAAAAGAAGAACGATTTCCTTTCCGATCCTTTAAATGCTCAGTTTTTCGATCTGAGTTTTCTGAAAATTAATTCTACGCAAAAGTGTATGAATATTCAAGCTGCTCCAAAAGGAGACGAGGATAATTATAAACGATATTTTCAGGATACCGTACGACAATGCAAACGACTTTTATTGCAATGAATGAGGATAATTTGCTATTAACTACACTCTCGCAGACCACACAATCCGGCGAATTAGAGCAATTGCATAAATGCAATTTTACAGTCTACGGAGCAATTCGGTTTTAATCCGGGCTAGCGATTCACCAAGCGCCTCAAGTCGAGAGAAAGAGAGAGAGAGAGAGAGAGGGGGGGAGGGGGAGGGGAAAGGGATCTCCTCGCGGCTGGTTTGCGGGTGTTACGAGAACATGAAGTCACATGCATCGTCACGAATGCCACAAACGTCACGACGCCCTTCGCCGAACGCTCCCTCTTCGCCTCGCCGACACCCCCGTTATATCGATCGTTGGCTATTTTCAGATTCAGGAACAATATTCGAGCGTTAATTGCTCCATTTCACTCGCTACTCATCCTACCGCGGAACAGCGCGTGCAATCGGAGGATAGTCGCGGGCGCACATACCGCAGTAATCGTGGATGCATAGTTTAAGAACTCTCTGGCGAATTACCCGCGTTATTGAGCGGTTTGTGTGAACAATGCGACAACGGACGAATGGAGAACACGTTCGGTATCCGGCCAATTAATCTCGATTAATATCGAGTCAGGCGGAATACGAAGTATCCGAGGCGACAGTGGGGCGTGCAACAGTTATCGAAAAAAAACGAATTTTCGGGAAACAATTCCTGATGTTAAATATAAACAATCGGGAAATTAATGGGGGATTAACTCTTTCGCAAACCGGATTACTTTCCGTTCCGAAACTCGGTACTACAACACTTTTATCAGTAATGGAGCGTACGTTATATCACTGGGCTGTCCTCTTTCAATTTTGGATCGCTCCCAGCGATCATATTGAAAATACAATCTCCGCGCATTTAAATATATCTGGCGCGCGCGATAATGCGACGCAGCGATGCGTCTTTGACGCGGTGTTACTTTAATCTGTTGTTCATTTGTAGGTAGGCCACATAAACTCTGATTTCCATTCCACGCTATAACAACCCCGAAGTAATTGTCGCCAGCGGCGGTGCGGCTTGGTCGCAATTTATATAGCGCGACGTTATTCAAATGTACGCGTGTATAGGCAAAAAGGTCCCGCCATTCGCATAATTTCGCAGTTAATCTCGCGGTTCCGTACCACGATTGCGACAATGAGGCCTATTTACGGCGCCGATTATTATTTTCTAACCTCGTCCGGGGGGAAGGGGGGGGGAGGAGTCGCGTTGTTCTTTCGTATTCAAGTTCCGTGCAATTCTTCCGGCGGGACGCCGTTCCAGCGACGATCGTTCGTGCGCGCACGTTAACGACGTGTAATACCAGACCCCGGGGTCACGTCGTTAGATCGAACCTAGTATCGTGCAGAAAAGCGCATTTCGTGAGCAAACAGTGCGAATAAACATTTATTTGAGACCATCGCGGAGTATCGTGCCTTAACCGGAAACAATCTCGATTCTAACATTGTGCAGATCGTACGGTTCGGCGATGTTTGTACGTTATCGCGAATCACTCGGCACTCGGCAAAGATGAAGAGGATAGCGGCAGGAGTGCATCGCGTGGCCGGGGAAAATATTCTTTCGGAATAATATCAATTATTGTTACCGTATATCAGTTATTATTCCGTCGGAAGGTGGGAACGGCTGTTTCTATTTTTCCTGGTAATATCCCGTGTTACGGTATGCAAAGAGCTTACCGTAGATAACGCGAATAATGGAAAGAATAACACGGTTCTACGGCGCAATTAAGCAAATGATAGCCCCCGCTAGACAAAGGAAAATTAAACGGACATTGCGCAATATGCGTGGAGGTAGCGTATTATAGCGATATCAAATTGAAACGGCACGATGTTACAAATAAGTATTGTCTTCTCTGGGGGAAAAAAAGAACAGCAACCCATTTTGGGGCCCACAATTAGTAATCGAATTATTTGGATTGTCCGTAATCTTTTGCGAATTTTACCCCGCGTAACTAAAAATCGCAATTAGCTACTCTATCTCCAAGATTTTAGAGTAATACTAATCAATTCTCTCAATTAGTGCTGTCGATGTTCAGTAACGCAAAGATAATTTTCACTTAAAAGGCACACAACCGAAATGTTAAATTGCTTAACTACAACAAGAAGCGGTCAAAATTTTTCCCAGAGTAGAGTTGCGAACAATTGAAATAATTCGATTGCTAATTGTGAGCCCCAAAATGGGTTGCTAACTTTTTTTCCCCAGAGTTACGAGGGAGTTAGCCAACAAAATAATCTCCCCGCGCCGGACGATCGCCGGTGATTTTATTCGGCGGGGACTCGATTGAGCGATAGCTGAAAGATTGGGGAAGGAAGGCAGGATTGGCAAAACTCCACATTTTTTGGATAAAGTCCTTCCTCTCCTGCTATCCCGCTCTCTTCCTTAACGATCAAGTCCTGCGAAGCCAGCAGGAATGCCGAGATCACGAGTTGTCCGTCGATTCGCCTTAGAAAGGGGGTTCTTATGGAAGACATACGGGGGAAATTGGAAGGAAACACGTTGGCAGGTCCGCTATAAATCGCATTCTTAAGAAACAGTTTCTTGTCAATTTATAAAAAACGATAAGATAAGTAGAAAACTTGTAGAAAGCACTGCAGAAAAGTATTGTTTTCCGCGTGAACTGAAAATTAATATAAAATTTAGTATCTCCGAAGTTCTCGTTTCAAAAATATGTATTAACTTCGATGAAACAATTTTTTTAATTAAAAACTTATCATATTGGTTTCTTTTTAATATAGCGATCAATATCTATGATATGTTATAGTATTTAAAAAAAACGTCTTTTTTCATAAAGTCTATAAAAATGACTATAAAAACTAATATTTATATAAATATATTTTAATTAAGTTAGTTATTTTTATTATAATTTTTACCAATTTATTCCCATTGGGTAAAGTCCGGGAAACGATGAAAACTGGAATTCACCATGGTTTTTTCCACCCCCTGGATTTTTCCAGCCGACCCTGGGGAAGGAGGGGGTTTAATCGCGTAGAATAATTATCCGTAGGTACACGAAAGGCACCCGCGGTCCTCCCGGACATCTTGATCGAGCCGCGATGTGCCGCGGTCCGGTTTTATAATTAAATTCCTTTGGGGGGGTTCAGCGGCTCGTATTCAGCACGTTCGTTCTTCCGCGAACGTGCCTCTCGGGCCATACCTCCTTTCCTGTCGCCACCCCGAACGAGACGTATGAAATTTCACGGATTTCATTCGCCGGTGCATCCGCGTTCCCCGAGGCTTCTCGCCGCACGTGCGGAGCGAACGTTTCCGCTCGCGATAATTCACGCTCCCATTCTTCCGCTCTCTCGCGCGCGCGAACGGCACATTTCGTTCGGGAGCTCGAAGAATAATTTCGATCTTACAATGTATTTTCCAGGTCGGGGCGCAGATAAGACCTGGAAAGCCCGGGCAGTGGAGGAATCCGTCAACGTAAGGACGCGTCGCGCGAGGGGCACCGGAGTGAATGCGGAATTCTGCGAGGGAGGATAAGAGGATAGACGCCGCGACGTAAATTCTTACCCTCCACGAGAATGTCCAGCCTATGAGTGGCACTTTTCCTACGTCTTACTGGCAAACGGAGGGAGGACCTCCCACGCCTCATCGACCAAGAAATTCTCGTTCCTGCCGGCGGATGCCCTCAAAGAGAAACTTTCCGTCGGATGTCCTCAAAGAGTGGATCTTCCCACGGGTTTCCACGGATTATACACCCCGGGATCTCTGTTGCACGTTATTCTCGAGGGACTTCCATATCGATCCCGCGGAACCAACTTTCTCCCGGCACGTCCCGGGAACTTTCCGGGAAAGCGATCCAACCTCTCGCCACTTTCCTTTATCTCCCGCTTGAAACGGCTCGCGGCTATAAACGGACGATCTCGCTCCACCTACGCTGTAATCGCGGCGCGCTACAAGACGCCGGAGCCAATTGAAAATTAAGGAGATCGGCGGAGGCGTTTGCGCGGAATACGAGGCGAAATCCTCGGGTCCGTTCCAATAACGCCGAGGGGAGGATCGCGAGGCGGCCGTCGCCGTAGTGAAGAGAAACGCGCGAATCCGCATCTTAAAATTCTGAGCGTGTCGGACAACAGAAACGGCGGCTGACATGATGCAACGGTGGACCAAATGCAAGGCGATATTGCGAAAATTCCCCCGGGGCTCAAACGAAGATTCAGCTCGGGGTGTAACGTCAACGCCTAATTGAGTGCGCGTGGCTGGCGAAAGGTGTGCTCTTACCACCGCGCGTGATCCGGCGCAGGGAGGTCGGCGATAACGCGGATTTCCCGCTGCGGGAGGATTTTATTAGCGACGTGATACGAAAACTTTCCCGCCCGCGTAATCGGCCGTAAAGCAACGGTAAAAGGTCGGCACAGAACGTAACTTTTCCATTTGTGCGAGACGTGATAAGAAAGCTCGACCGACCTAATTAGCGCGACGCGCGGCCCACAATGTTGTGGTAAAGAGCGCTGAGTAATGAGCAGGCGAGGCGGGAATGACAGTTTGACGGAAATCGTCGCAAAATCTCGGCTCCCTTACCAGCTCCTATCATATGCCGAAGCGGACGGGACTTTTCTTCCGGGGCAAAACGCGAAGCAACGAACGCGAATTCCAGGGGGGTGACATTCGTCTACTCGATGCTCGTGGGCGAGAGGCTAATACGCAAAAACCGCCTCGTCGTAAAGCGCCGGGCGAATTTCACGACGAGACATCAACGATGCTTTAGTAATCGTTAAGCGACACGCGGCTTGGAGCAACGGCGAAAAGGCTGCTCTAGTAGACCGGAGAACCATCGGTCTTTCCTCCTAAGCGAGAGATCAGCGCGACCGCCGGTTCCTGATCTCCGACTGCGCAAAAAGAGAGGCGAGCCGATACAAAAATCCGCCGCGGCGACGACCACGTCTGCGGAAGAAGCCAGTTATATCGGAGTTTCGGGTATCGACGAGAGGGAAAAAAAGCGCACCCACTCTACGGCGAACAAGCCGCAGGGACAATGGAATCTCATCCGGCGGCAGCCGATCGGCGGTTTGGGACTCGATCGGATTCTGCGGGGAGCGCCCGTGCGTGAAACACGAGCGGGAGCGAGCCCGGACGTCGAAATCGAGGGCCGACGGTCGTGCGGCCACGCTACCCGGCGGTTTAATCGGTGAAGACGTACAGTAATCGCGCCGATACCATCGGCGGACGTGCCAGCGGCGCCGCGGCGGAATTAATGAAACGTCCCGCCGCGATAATTACGACGTGGCCGATAAGGGGCTCGATTTCCATAATCGAGCGCGCGTGAATCCTCTTCCGCGCGCGCACGTGCGCGCCAGAATCGATCGGTGCCACGCGCCGCTGCGATTTTTCCAATTAAGATCGGCCGGACGGAAAAACGGTGCGATTCGTCGACGCGTGACCCGACGCGATGCGACACGCCGGGATTAAAAGCTCGTATTTCCGGCGCCAGTAGCCGACGCGCTTTCGCGAAAGATCGACCCCCGGGAACGAGAGAATCGGCGGCACCGCGTGGGCGAGCGTGGAGCGGAATTTACGCAGGACAACAGCGGCGCGTGAACACGACCGATGGATGTTCCTCGGCACCGCGATTCGGCAATTCATCATTCCGCGACGACGGAGAGTCGTTGCGGAGAGCTCGAACATTGTGACGCTGCCTCGATTGTAACGTGCCCTTCAAGCGCGACGCGAGTCTCGGCGCTACGTCGACATAGTCGTGAAAGCTCGCCTGACTTGGACGGCTGGTATGCGCGGTTGACAGGAATATGTAAGTTATTTGCCCGGGAAGACGATAATCCTGCTGCTACCCACATCGAATTTCTACCCTTCGAATAAAGCGGCGAGTACATTTTGCGGGTAGCCAAGTATTCCGAAGATATTCGGCTTCCGAAAGAGACATGAATCGGTGCGGACGTATCCGACGAATCACCCGCGCGTCGAGTCCCTTCGCGGCGACACCATAATCTAATGTTAGAGATTATCAAAAACGCAGTTATCCAACGCCCGAGACGCGATCTCGTAAAGGGGAAAAAGAGTGGACGAGAGGGAATGAAGATTGCGTGCTCCGGGCGGGAGCTCAGCGCGCTTTGAGGCGCGATAAGAAAGACGACCGAGATCGCGAGCGGGTGGAGAGCGGGGTGAAAAACGCAGCGACGGCCTCTCGCCCGTCTGTAGCTCAACGTAGCGAGTTCCGTGGCCGAGAGACCGGCGTTATTCGTGATGCAGAGCCTCGACGAGCTGACGACGGCGTACAACTCCACGTCTCACCTCTGGAACGTGACGACGACCCTGTGGTACGACAATGACACCTATCACAACGGCACCAACTACACGGATCTGGCGCCGCGGAATCAGTTCGTCCTCCCGTGGTGGCGGCAGATGATCTGGACGCTCCTGTTCGCCGGCATGATCACGGTCGCGACCGGCGGCAATCTGATAGTGATATGGATCGTGCTGGCGCACAGGCGGATGCGCACCGTCACCAACTACTTCCTGGTGAACCTGAGCATCGCGGACGCCATGGTCTCCACCTTGAACGTCACCTTCAATTACACCTACATGCTCAACAGCCACTGGCCGTTCGGGACGCTCTACTGCAAGATCTCCCAGTTCATCGCGGTCCTCACGATATGCGCCAGCGTCTTCACTCTGATGGCGATATCCATCGACCGGTGAGTCTCTTGCTTCTTCTTTTCTTCTTCTTTCTCTATTGCCGGAATAAAACGTTCTCGAGGGTGAATTGCGAGAGGTAGCACGGCGTCTTGACTCGCGACGGTCAATATTAGGACGCTGTCGATTTAGGCTCTTCTCCTGCTATTGTACGATGTTATCGCGGACGAGGGATATATCCGTCAATGCTAATCGTTCTGCCTAAGCGCGAGAGTCGTCGCCGTGATCCTCAGATGTATCAAACAAACAATAATCCCGAAGATAGCTCTGTTACACCCGCGCGGACTCTTATATCGCTCGAGCGCGTTCTCGCTTTTAGCGCGTGAATGTCCGCGCTGAAACCCCACTTAGATCGATGTCCGACCCTGGGAAAATACATTTCCTCCTGTTTATCTAGAGAGGCCTCGGTGTGCGATGAAGTAGGCACGGCGTGGGTGCGTCGTACATGAACGTCGTGTTAAAGAGGGTTAACAGCGGGACGGAAGCGGGTCTCCTCGGGCTAACGACGGAGATCAATCTGACGTCGAAAGTCAGCCAAGAAAAACGAGGAGGGCAAACATTCGCGCTCCAGCGTCACCTGTCCCGCGATTAAACGAGGTGGAACTTCGTCGCCAAGATCCAATTACATAGTTCAACAAATCTCAACTTCTTCATTTGCGGCTTCATCGAATTATCACCGGCGATGTTTTCTTCTTTTTTTTTCTTTTTGCGCGTGTAAACGCGCATAAGTCGTCTCCTCGTTTCTCTCAAGCCTCGTCTACATAGAAGTCGTAAAGTCGTAGGATACGGTGTCGTAAAGTCGTAGAGTAATATCGGTGGTCGCTTGAGACGTTAGTTTCCGGTCGCAAGATAGTCGTTGTCGCAGTCGTGCAAGTCGGTCCAATTCCCATTCCTGCGACTGCGACTGTACATACAACGAGCCAATCAGATAGAGCTAACCTAACCTAACCCCAACCCTAACCTAACCTAACCATTCTGATTCACCCTGTATACTGCTGATATTCTACGAGTAGAGGTGTGACATTTTGATATTATCTTTATACGCAAAATATCGCAAAATGCCTCAGGAACGTTTTCAATATAATTTCTTTACATTTTAGAATCCCCAACTTCGTTTTAACACGGTTTTAAAATGCAAAATGGCGTCCAAATAACGTCAAAAATCGCAATTTTTCTTAGTAAACGTTTCTAACGTCAATATTGTATCACTTGTATCAGAGTAGAAGGTTCAAAATTGTTTAAAATCAACTCTGCAGTCGCGACGCTGGATGCCATCTTCGTCGCTAGTTACTTTTTGCTACGTGTTCATACTATTTTAATATGTTATGTTTTGTGTTACATTTTTTAACATATGTTTAGCCTTAATAAATGTCACTGAAGCCCTGCCCACTTCTGACCACGGCATTATCAGAAACATTATCAAAATAATGCAGAATCCGGAAAAACAAAACACAAAAGATACCAAAAGGTAACATCAAAATAACGCAAAATCTGGAAAAACAAAACGCAAAAATGTCAAAAAAATATAAGAACATCAAAATGTCACACCTCTATGTACGAGTTATCGTCGTTTCGAGCTGAAGAACGTTTAACATCGAATTTTTCATAACAACAGACCTGCTGTATTATCAGTCTACAACGAACTGTTCGATAAGGGAAATGCGAGCGCGAAGAAATGGGCAAATAACAAGAGCGTCTCTTTTTTTGCGGGAGATATCGGAGAGGTGCAATTCAATCCGCGAGCTTGGAAATGCCGGGTTAATTTTCCAAAGCGACTTTCCTCCTGAATGAGCGCCATTCAGAATTATACTCTCAACGGAATGCATAATTCACCGTTCTTTTTATCATCACCGCAGGCCCCATTTATTCCTTTCCTCTCTTATCTCTAGGCTAGACGGCGATTTTTTAATCAGATTGAGGAAAAAAAGATGCATCTCTCCTGGATTGAAAGAAGGAATCGTCCATTCAAAATAATCGATTAAATCAATACAAGGAACTGCGAACTCCAAAGACATCAGAATTAATGCGATTGCATCTGTAACATTCCGATAGCGACCGTTTAAACTCTCATAAATCTCGATTAAAGACTCAGTCACGTTTCAAACAACCCGTTTCAAAGCCGATTACGTTAAGTTCGCGTTCTGCCTGGCGAGGCGAATGATTGCTTGAAGGAGCTAAAGTCCGAGAGGCTGAATACGGAAAAACCACTAGTCAGAACGTTGCTTTCCGCGCTGAAGGAGCGTATGCTTGTTTCCTCTCAATTGTGCTCCAGAAGAAAGAGCCCATTATTCGAGGACATCGTTCAAAACTACGTGAAGCGTAGAACGATTAAAGGCCCGTCCACCGAGAGATACCCGGTATATCCAACGCTTTTTTTATACGTTCCCCAAGAGTCGCTCTGAAACGTCGATGTATCTCTCGAAGATTTAGACGTTTTGAGGCGGAATTGCCGATAAAAAATGCGGAGGAGCGATAAAAATTTCGATCGCCCGATGTCGCCGACAGATGCTACGTGATATCGGGAGCTGCTCAGGTCGTAAATCGTGAAATTCGTTTTTATACCAGGGACAGGAGGCAGGAGAGGGCGAGGATCGGTCCATCGGCGCCGGTGGCAATCGCCGATAACCGCGAACGGCGAGCGTCGCGCGCCGATGGATTTATCGCGGGGCAGCTAATTTTCGACGATATACACCGAGGGGTGATGCAAATGTTACGCATATTATTGACTGCGCGACGACGTGGAGCCCGGCATTCCGCGAGCGGCACCGATACGGGGCCGTTTCCAAGTGACATTTCGTCCGCGGGGAAACGCCAATGGAGCATTGCACTCGATCGGCTACGGCGGCATTCCCCGATAAATGATAATGTGCGTTATCACAAGCGCGGGAATCTGAGACCACGCGACAATACGCTACGGCATGGAGGAAATAGCAAGAGGGGAGGAGGAGAAAGAGATGAGAGAGGGAGAGAGCGAGAGCCATCGGAACGTAAGCATTGCGCCCGTTGCGATAGAAATAACGGGCATTGTAGCCCGCTCGGATATCGTTTTCGATCGATCTCCACCGCGGAGGCTTTTATCTAGATCATTAAATGTATTACAGCGGAGCTTTATACGCCGCTGCAACGAGCCTCGGTAAATGCGATGAAATTGAATGGACCGTAGGGAACTTAATCGACGCGCGGACAGCGAATGCAACGAAAATTTATTCCGACGAATTCATATCGCGCGCGACAGAGGCGATCGCTCGCGCCCAAGTGAGATCGCGTTTACGGTAAGCGCGGGGATTCCGACGGCAAATCCGTTCCGAATGAATTTTCGCGCGGTTTCATCGGCCGCGGACTCCGTAGGGTCGGCGGGCCGCGTCGGGAGCAGGCGTTATCGTTAGATATAAAAAGAACTCGGAGATTGGACCGCCAGTTAATTTCCCCCGTGCAAGGATATTGCTGTTATCGCTATAACCTACCGATGTGGATGCACGTTAACCTGACAATACTAGAGACCCTGCATGTAATCAGAGACTGGCCATAAGAGTTCGTCAAATTCCCGCGAGTGAGAGAGAAACACAGACTACTTTTCCGCCGGGGGTCAGAGCCGGGCTAGAGTCGGGTCAGATTGGGGCGAGCGCTCTTGCAGTGGAAACACCAAACTCGAACCTGTACTCAACCTTATAAAATTTTACGATTAATGCGAGGTTCGGTGGAAACGACAAGAGTCTTGTTAGGCTCCTGTAGTGTTGCCAACAGGTTAAATAGTAATAAGTAGCTTTTTGATTTATCTCGATTCTGTTTTACCTTAAAATTTCATAAGGTAGGGTTCAGGTTTGAATTTCGTGTTTCCATCGAAGCGCTCACCCCAACCCGATTCTGATCCGACTCTAACCCGACTCTGACCCTCGGTGGAAACGTAGCCGTACGATCGTAGAATTGTAGAAGAGCGAGATAGCCTATGTTTCCCCTCTCACTCGTGGGAATTTGACGAACTCTTATGGCCTCTGATCACAGGGTCTTGAGTCAATACGAAGTATCGCGAGGGGAAGGTCGAGCTTGAACGGCCGCGAAATCGTGAGGAGAGGCTCGGCGAAGTTTCCTCTCGTCCCCGCGCGAGGAAGAGAACGGATAATTGCCGCGGTGCAAAGTGAACAATCGCTTGTGTCGTTGCTCGAAATGGTTTCTTGCTCCGAACGTCTCCATGGTGGAAGAACGCCTTCCCGAGGAAACGACACGCCGCAAACGACGGCCATTAGGTGTCGTCACGAGAATGAGCGAAAAATCCCAATGAGAATAATCCTGCCAATGGAGTCGCGAGTTATTTCACGACGCGTTTGACCTTGATGTAACCGCGACGAACGTGTAACGGAACTAATTAGATTTTCTGCGGTCACAACGCCGTGCCCTCCGTACGGGAACCGAGCAACGATTCTCGTCCCCGCGCTTTGCCAGGCGGCGGGTCGCATTAAGGGTTGAAATATTAACCGCGAGTAATTGCCATGCCTTTTTGCTTAATTCAGAATTTAGAGCCTTAGCCGGATCGCAACAGAGCTCATTAAAGCCGAGCGGGATTGCGCGTAACGCGCGAGGTGTGTTATTTTTAGGAATCTCCCTGCAGGAACATTATTTTCAAATTTCGTGAATAACGGGGCGGTTTATCTGATGTCCCGCCCACGCACAATGGAAAGATGAATACGAAATTGATTTTTCAGTCTATTTTCACTGTAAACGCCATCAGAGGCGGATCTTTTCTATCGTGCAAATTCGCCAGCGAAAGTATCGCAGAGATTCCCTCGCTCGATATTTATCGCGAGAGGTTGTTATCATCGAGAAAATGCTTAAGATTCTTCTCTTTATTCAAGAAAAGCTCTCTCTTTATCTCTCTCTCTCTCTCTCTCTTTCGCTCGTTGCCTCCCGCTCGTGCCCTTTCATCGTAGCTAGGTTGCAGTTCTCTCGCGCGTACAGGCGAACGTCTTATCCCGTTAAAACGCGTTGGCGTTCAATTTTCTGCGGA